TGTTACAGAAACTTCAAGGCCTCTAGCTTGAAGTCCTCCTTATGTTCCCCTGGGATAACATAAATAAATAAATATATATAATTGTAGAGCTGGAAGAGGAAATTATCGAAAGGTGGATATTCTTTGCTCAATTATTTTGTTATTTATACATATCTATTGTTTTAACTGCTAATGATAACATCTGGCTACGCAGACTCTTTGTTATAGGTGGAGGCAAGGTCACTGGTTGGTAGTCGAACACCTAATTTAGTAAAGCCACAGATCTACCAACCAGTCAAAGAAAAAATAATTATTGCTAGCCTATCACTACTGACAGACGAGGATGTCAAATCGAGAATAGGGTAAGCGAGAAATACATTCATCGGCCTGAAATCAATCTGGAAATCTTCGTCACTCAACTCAGAATCATCAACAACAAAATTCAGTCGGTCAGTCAGTTCTTCTATACGGATCAGAAACTTGGCGGGCTGGCGGGTCACAAAGAATATTTCCAACAACCTGTTGCACACCTTTATCAACCAACAACTGTCTTCGCCGGCTCTATACTGAAGATCAATCAGATGGCCGGGCCGGAAAGAATCACCAATAAGAAACAAGAAACTATTGGAACAAATAAAACAAGAACCAATCGCCCAACCAACAAAAATATGCAGGAGAAAGTGGAGATGGATGGATTGGACACTCGCTGAGGAGGCCGCCGCTAGGTGACATTGCATGCGCGTCAGGCCATCACTCGAGTGGAACCAGGCCGAAAGGGAAGCGGCGAGTGGGTGACATGGAGGAGATCGTGTGAAGAGGAGGAGTTGAAACAGTATGGACTTATATGGATGATGCAGGTGAAAAGTACAGCAGAAGACAGAAGCAAGCAAGTGGAGACGTGCAGCTGAAGCCCTATGTTCCACTAGGAACCCAAGGGAACAATAATAATGATAATAATAGCAGCAATAATACTGACTTCCAAAATAACATTTCTTCATTTAGAAAAGAAAAGAGAAGAAGAAATTGAATTTCAGACTAAAAATTGCACATTTTTACATAAGTCAATCAAAAAACAGATGTCTACAAATCACATAAAAAAACAGCAACAAAAAGAAAAAATAAATAATTGAAAGCCAATAATTAACATTCTACTATGTGAGTGTGTGTGTGTGTGTGTGTGTTCATCACAAGCATAAACAAAGAAGAAGAAAATTTTTTTTTCTTGTCTAAATAATTTATGCATTTTCCAAGAAAGAAACAAACAGTTGAGTTAGAAATACGTCTCTCCTTCTCCTCCTCCTCCTCCAACTTACATTTTGTTGCCATATGAAAATGCAGTAAACAATTGATCTTATCAATAGAATCTGCCCTTGTATAAACCAAAGTTTGACCATGGAGAGATATCAGTTCGAGAACTATCGCCCTAATCTGGAAATCATCATCAGTATGCACCCCCCCCCGGCCAACGTTTGAACCCAGGACCTTAGAGTTTCAAGTCAAAGCTACGCTATGGGACGAAGTTGCCTGGAGTTCTAGTGAGAAACTGTGAGCAGAAGGGTCCGTCCGCCACCACAGGGTTGGGAATGAAGACAAATATACTCGTCAATGAAATTGGCTAGTTATTTATTATTTATTCATTTATTTCATCTTCAGACGAAAACGTGACCTACAACAACTAGCTGGCTCACATGGCCCCACTATCATTTACGGCATAGAGGCTGAAATTACATCTCTAATGTCAAGTACCTTGGACTGAGTATTTCCTCCGATCTTTCCTGGTCCTCCCAAATCTTGCTAGCTACTAGAAAGATGTTTCGCTTAACGTTCTAGGTTAGGAAGTTAAGTCACTCTGGTATAAAGTAGTCTTTGCTTTCTCAGTTTGTCAATTCTTGTATTCTACTCATCCCTCCTTACTGCTCCCCATTAATCTTTCCTGGATTACTTAAGAAAGACTTTGCTTTGCTGAGAAGTCCACTAAAAGCCGTTAGTAGGGCAAGTGGGATATCGTTAGACCAACTGGTTAACACTATTGTGGATAGACATAAAATGTCATCTGGTAGAACTAGAAGCAGCTATAGGAGGCTATATGCTAGGACTACCAAGTACAAAAACTCCACAACACCATATCTGGCACAGCTGTTATTTTTTTTTTATTTACAGCTTGATTCCACACTGTATTTTTGGTACAAGTATTGAATTTTCAGCATGGATATCGGTAGCCCAAATTTTGCAGGCCGACCATAGATATCGGGTGTGCGTCGGCAGGGGATCGAACCTCGGACCATTTGCATGGTTGGCGAGAGTCCTAACCACTGTGATGAGAAATCCGTTAGGTATGACACGATCAACTTACCGCGGTACTCTAACAGATAGTCTCATTAGTTTTTGTTTTCCTTTCTTCGTTACTATTACACTGTTCTTCACATCTTCTATTAAACACTAATTTTATATTTCATATCCCGTGGTGCATTGTTTAAAATGTAAACGCAACGCTGTCCTTTTTATTCATCTATTTTTTTGGTTGTTGCTTTTTGATTTTAAAATCTTATAAAATTGATGAGGTAATTAGATGCAATATATTGTAATGCACGCTGAAAACTCCATACCTGTACCACAAATACTGTTTGGAATAAAGCTGTTATTATTATTTTTATTCCTTTATGTTCCCCCAATGGAACATAAAGAGGGCTTCAAGCTAGGGTCTTGAAAGTTTCGGTAGCAGTGATGTGTATTTTTACGGGATGAAGGTTATTAGCCTCAACTGACCTAAACTTTCCTCTTTACCAACAACAGACAACAATCAGCGTAAATGGGATTTGTATGAAAGAAGCTAACTCTTTTACATACTTACCTACCTATCTGCCTACCTGAGAAACATCGTTTCAACTACAGGCGGACTGATCTGATGAGGATATCATCAAAGTGAGGATTGGGAAGGCGAAACAAGCTTTCATTATTCTCAAGTCTGTGTGCAAGTCAAAACTCAGCACTCAGCATGAAAAATAAGATCCGGATTTTCAACTCCAATGTGAAGTCAGTGCTGTTGAGTACGTAACAATGTGATTGTACACTTTTTAGGTACTTGTATAAATTCGAGATATTGTACATAATTTTTGTTTAAATCGCTTCTTGTTGAAATATAAATAATTTCCGTGTACGATTGAAAAAATACACTCTGCTGTTGGAGACTTCGTCTTCTCCCTGGTCACCTCTACTTGCTTGCTCCACTCACACCGTGTTGTAACTTTGGATTTATTGTAGGAGCCTACTACTTTCATCCGAAGACATTTCTACAACCGGGACACAGCAGCTACAGCAGACGCAGTCCCAACAGTTAACGTGCCTGTGGATTATATAATTAATTTGTAGCCGAGGACTTACACTTTATAACCAAGTAATCCTTTTTGTTGCTATAACTCGTCACTGTATTTTTGGTAATATATTGTGATTTAACACTCCACTGACTTGGATTATTACTTTTATACTTGGAATGTTAGTGAACTCTAATATTAGTCCCCTACAGTGCTACTTACTATACATATCACAGACTTGGCGCCATGTCACGAAGGTCCATTCGAACAAACTACAAACCTTCATCAACAGCTGTCTTCGCTCAATACTTCGCTTCAAGGTCTAATAGCCGGCCAGAAAAGACCAGCAACAGTGAGGGATCGCTGGCAATGAAAGAACCAACACAACGGGAACCGATTGGGCAAGAAATATGCTGGAACAAATGGAGGTGGATTGGCCATACTCTGAGGAAACCATCAAGTGATATCGCATGCCAGGCCACTGCTCGGGTGGAACCCAAACGAGAAACGATGAGTTGGTCGTTAGTGCGAGGGTGACATGGAGTGGAGGAGGTCATGTGAAGAGGAGATGAAAGCATATGGGCAGACGTGGAGACAAGTAAAAACGTTGGCGGAGAACCGAACGCAGTGGAGACGTGCTTGGCTGAAGTCCTATGTTCCACTAGGAACTGAAGGAAACAGTGGTGATATAATAATAATATCCCCTTATGTCCTTGTCTGAATGTATGTATACATATAATTAAAAAAAAAGATTTTCAGGAAAGAAACTGTGAATAAAAGCTGTCAGAAATAATTTTCACTAGTCCACATTACTCTGATTACATAATAATACTAAAAGTCAGTCGTATTTCCCACCTGCTGGTTTCAATCAGAAGAGAAGAGAATAGAATAGAACTGTGACGAAATAGGGAGAAAAAGAAATGTAATTACTTCTACATTTTTAATTGAAGTATAAAGGTGTATTCACCGGTCATAAAGTTTTACGAGGAAAAGAAACATGTGTCCAACATTTTAGTGTTCTTTAATTTTCACTTGACTACTGATGGTAACAAATTATGGTGACATGAAAGTACTAAGTATTTTACTTCCACTGTGTTATTTTATTCGACAGTAGCTGACGGTCAAATCCAGGATGACCAAGTATTCCAGTCAAATTTAATCAATCAAATTTCATCACGGATTGATAGCAGTTAGAGAAAAAAAATGAAAACAATGGAGCACTGGACAGCTGTTCCGTCCTGACTTAGGACTCATCAGTAACAGACACTCACCGCCAGCGTTCGAACTCAGGACCTTCCGGTCGCAAAGCGAGCTTGTGGGCCATTCACCCACTGGGATACGACTCCGCAACGGCCAGCCTATGAATTCAAACTTCCACCAATTCGTGATTTGAGCGCGACTGGCACCAATCAAAGTCACTGACATGTACCTATATCCTCACTCCTGACGAGGTCCTCAGGGTTCAAGGCCTGGTAGGTACATACTTTCTGACGAGTCCCAAACTAAGACGACACAATCGCCCAGTAGCAGTACCTGGTCTTCAAGGGTTCTCCACCTCATATCACTATGTGATCAAAGCCGGAACAAATTAAATTCCTACAATTAAACTCTTGAGAATAATCAATCAACGCAAAGTGGAAAATAATAATAATAATTTTATCACAGAGTATTACTTCCATTTAATTAATACCCAAATTAATGATAGCTTACCTGATCAGCACACCAATACCATATAGATGCAGGTGTTTGACCAAGTAGAAATCCAAGCCATGGCATATCAGGATCATTAATTCCACGTAGCAGTGTAAACGCTTTAGTCGATGGTAAACTGCATTTTAGCGTTGGAGAAACCTCAGGTAGATCAGCTAATTCCGCTAATGAATTGATGCCAGTTGTATTTACAGCATTGGCTAAACTAATTAATGCATTGGCAGTTTCATTCGATGAAGTATTGAACTTTGCAATTGCCTGACCATATAAGGATAGAACACCGTTGAATCCGTTAACTTTAATATAACCTGAAATAATTAATATGCAAAATTTACAAATTAGTTATTACAATTTAATAGTCATCCTGAAGATTTCAATAAGCTTTTTCTATCTTATCTGGAAATGCGTCGGTGACACAGCGGTTAGGACGCTTGCCGATCATGCACATGGTCCAGGGTTCGATCACCGGCCACCGACGAACTCCTTTACCTTGATAATCCAGAAATAATCCAGGTAAAGAGGAAAGGTTGGGCATGAGGCTAGCAACCATATCCTGTAAAACAAACACTGATACAGAAACTTCAGGCCACTAGCTTGAAGCCTTATGTTCTACTGGGGGACGTGAAGGAAAGGAAAAATCTTATCTGGGATGTTAAGATTAAAAAGATACGATGAAGTTAGTCGCCTTCAACTCTATAGGTGTTTGCATTCTATTTGTTATGTTAAGTGGGGCAAAATTAAACTTTAAGCACAACCAACTACTACCAATCAGCGAATGACCCTCAATCAACCAATCACATGAAAGAGGGATTTTCGATCATAGAAAACGTATATTTATGGGGAAAAAAGCATAAAAGCTGCATAAAACTGTTACATAGGGTATCTTTCTCTAACATGTGACAGAAACATCCTCCAATTTAGCCTAGGAGTGTCAATATAAATGTAATGTTTACTGTATAACACTGCGAGACTTTATCAAAACAAAAATTTACCCATAATGGAATTATACTCTACCACAGTGCACAAGTTTTATTCTTATATCAATACTTTAAAACCTTATCCTCATCGAAGTGCAAGCAGGCATTTAACACGAATCAAGAGAAATACAACCTTGAACTTACTTGGATGAACCTCATTGGACAATTCGAAGTCATTCACTGGTTGGTAGTTTGTGGTGCTTAAAGTTCAACTTGGCCTGATCTCCTAAATCCATTAAAATTCTTATTATTTCGCATAGATTTCTGTATATTATAATTTCCTTCTATTTCTTTCTCTCCATCTTATTTTTATGTGTTACTTTATGTAAAGTGGGGTAACTTGAACTGCTCCACTTGGGTACTAAGTTCTATAATAATGATAACTTAGTACCGTTTAGCTCAATTTAGTTAGTTTCTATGTTAACACACTAAACAGGGAAGCGACGCATTTGAAGTGAAGACAGGAAACAGTAAGACGCGGTTGTCGCCAATGATATTCTTGGTTGTGGCAGACTGAATTGTGCGGCGAAACCGTGAGAAGTGAAGAGACAGGAATACGTTGTGGTGTGTCTATTGGCAGTTGACAGGAAGGAGATCTAGTAGATCTGAGCTTCACAGATGACTTATATTGAATGTCACAAAAAATTCAAGACATACTTGAATAACTTGGCATCAATAACTTGGCATAAAAAGTGGCGAAGATAAGACTTCAACTGAACAAAAGAAAGACCAAGGTGATTAAGATGACCAACTCAACCAGCCAACCAACAACATCAACAAGAAACAACAATCACTAATAGCAGAAGAAATTTGAAGGAGGTGACCAGTTTCAATTATCTAGGCAGTATTGTTCCAACTACAGGATCGTGAAAGTAACAGATACTATCAGTAATTGCTGCACTCAAACATAATAAAGAATAAGATTTGGATTTTCATTTCTTATATCAAGTCATTCAGTGCTTCTATATGGTGTAGATACTTGACGCGCACGTGTCATTAAAAACTTTTCGAAAAGGCTTCACACTTTTATCGCAATAGCCGTTTTTATCCATACTGAAGATTAGATGACCGGCTGGGAAGCATAGTATAGTTATACAAGGGACATAAGTTCCTTCCTTCAAGGTTGCAGATAAGCCGCCTTGCCGACTACTGGTGAGTGCCAACTAACACGAAACCTAGGTCCTGGAAAGGCCTCCTGTGGCCGATTGCCCCCAACTATCTAATATATATCACCAAATCAATGTACACCCTGATGGCGAGCTACCACCTAGTGGCATGGTAGTGGCCACATTGTAAACCTGACTGACTGGTAGAATTCAGTCTGCACCAAACAAAGGACTAGCCAAACACATCATCGTAGTTACTATCGTCCAATCAAAAAGTATAGTATAGCATTGTTCATTTCCTTAATAAACGATGTGTAGCCGGGCCTTTGTCTTCTGTTGTCACATTTGGTGTCGCTGCCTACCGACAGATGGAAAGCCCATGCCCTGCAGTTTTTTGATGGAGACATATGGATCTTCGGGCAGGATTTCGAGGCTTCTGCACAGTTAAGTGACGTTCAAGATCTGTCAGCGATGAGACTGCTACTTGGGACGCTGCTGGGCGTTTGGGAGAAAGCAGCATATGAAAGTGTGAGGCAAAATGTCGACGAATGTGCGAGAGGGTCAGGCAAACAGTTTTCAAAGTGGGAGGGACCACATATGGTCGTCACTTTGAGATGGGGTTACGCAGACACAATCTCAATCGTAAACAATGAGAAACAGGTGGACATCAGCGAGCGCCGAGAATCTAGACAGCAACACAAATGAATAAAGCCCCTAGAACCAAGAAGACCGAATCAACTACACTCGGAACTCTTTGACGGGGGGACAAGAGTGGTGAGAGCTGGCTGTTAGCCAAAGTTCGTGGACAGTAATTTACGTCAATGTTTACGTCACCAATATTGGTCGTGAGAAAAACGATAACAAAGACTTTGTGTAGGCGGGTACAGTTAGCATACAGGTGATCTGCCCTTCAAGAAACAGCCACAAAGAGATGCAAGGTTAACTTTCTGTGGGAAAGAACCAATCAGAGAACTGTGTTTTTCTGCTAACAATAATCTATAATAATGTACATGAAAATCTATAAATATGTGTTGATTTCCTTAATAAACGATCTGCTGCCGCGCCCTTGTCTTCTGTTGCTACAGTGTAAGTGATAAGAAACTCTCAACAAACCAACCAAGAACTTATTGTTCAACAAATATACTTGAGGAAATAGAATGGATCCAGACAACATGATAAGGAGACGGTGCGTAGACGTCGAATAGGAGATAATGAGTTGGGTTTGCCCCCCGGGGGTGGGGGTGGTTGACATGAACCAGGTCATGTGAGGACAATACAAAAGTGCCTATAGGAAATCGTATCGTGGGAGACCCAGCTAAAATGGACTACAGAAAACATAGATAAGATGAAGCCTTATATTCTTCTACTCGGAACCCTAGGCAATAATAATGATGATCAATGTGTGATTGGTACAATAAAGAACTGTTGATTAAAATTGAAATCTTTGAATATTCCCATTTTTAATATTAGAACAAGATGCATATAAGCGAACAATATTATTGTTTTCAATTAGATCTTCTTCCTCAGGCTTTACTCTAAATTATACATAGATGGTGGTATAGCGGTTAAGACATTTTGCCGACCATGCACGTGGTCCGGGGTTCGATCACCGGTCACAGACGCACTCTTTTACCTCCCTAAGCCGGAAATAATGCTAGTAAAGAGAAAAGGTTGGGCATGAGGCTAGCAACCCAATCCTGTAAAAATTAAAAACACTGCTACAGAAACTTCAAGCCAACAGCTTGAAGCCCTAAGTTCCACTAGGGAACGAGACGGAAAAAAATATGTACAAAAACTTTTAACCAATGACGGTGATTTTGTGGATCAAATAAGTGTAATAAAGATAATATTTATTTATTTATTTATTTTATTTTTGATTACAGCTTGATTCCACACCGTAGTTTTTGGTACAGGTGTGGAATTTTCAGCATGGATATCGGTAGCCCAAATTTTGCAGGCCAGCCATAGATATCAGGTGTGCATCGGCAGGAGATCGAATCTCGGACCATGTGCATGGTCGGTGAGAGTCCTAACCACTGTGGTAGATGTTTTGAACGTAATTAATAACGATGATTATAATGACAACAAAATATTGATAACAAAGTTTATACAGGTGGCGATAAGAATAACAAAGATAGTATACGTATATATGTGTATATGTAGACAATTCAATAAATAAATAAATTAGGTCAAATCTTAAAAGGTGAAATGGAACGATAATCAGGGTTTAAATAAACATCATAAAGGTACGAAGGAGACGGAAGATAAGAAAGGGTGGAAGGGTTTAGATTAGAATTCACCTAGGCGAAGCAAGGGAGAGACAAAGGTAGAACAAACTTTGTTGTATGCATAGACTAGGATTCTTCTCTCGAATTGATTCCCATTGCTTCGCCTATGTGTAAAAGGCGAGATCGAATTCCATTCGAAAAGCTCGATGGAATGCGATAGATAACTTTGAAGGCGGCACTATTTTTGTCCACTTGAAGACCGCAATCATCAATCAAATGAGCCAAAATAGAACTTCTTATAAATTTTATTTGACCTTTCCGAACCATGAAAGGAAGGGAGATGCTCATTAATGGTGCGTTTGTTAGGCTGTCTAGTTGTTCGCCGTATATAGCCAGTTCTCTCCACAGGAGCAACTAAGCATTTACTGGTACACATAGAAGTGGCGCACAGCTAGAGGTAGCTTGTCTTTCACTTGAGCAATCATAATTGGTCGGGAACTGGAAAATGATAAACAAAGGGTGGTGGCAGTACAAGTACGTTTTATTGCTCTCGATAATTTCAGATGTAAGACTTCACCAGCCACGTTCTCATTAAATTGCGATTTCATGAACGGTTGTTTCTTTTTTAACTGCTATCAGTTTGTCTTTATTGTACCTGGTATTCATGTGTCTCCTTACAAATCTACCAGGATAATCCATTAGGACCAGCGTATTTTGGATGTATCCTAACTCATTTTCTGGGGAGTCATCTGTACAGATACGTCTTGCTCTATTCGTGAGGCATCTGACCAAATTGATTTTGTATCGGATTGGTACAAAACTGAGGAAATGTGTATATTGTCCTACAGATGTAGGTTTTCTATAGACATCTCTCTTGAGTGAACCATCTAGTCTCTCTTCTGCTCAATTGGACATCAAAGAAGTGTAGTCTACCATCATGTTCTTCTTCACAAGTGAAGATGAGCGATGGATGTGCAACATTAAACTTTTCTAACAT